TAGACAAACACTCTGCTTGTCACGGAACTGCAGGTCACGGAACTGCATGCCTCCAACCTCAAATGCAGCACCATTTTATTAACTATTTTCTTATTCTGAAAATGAGTCTTTTGATTTCTCACCCTGATAAAGAGCACTGAGACACATGTCCTTCTGCAAAGAACCTGTCATGGGACCAACACTTGGGGACTGTGGGGTAAAAGGGGTCAAGGAAAACATCCCCTGCCCCGACTAGACCCGAGACCTGGGCCAAGAAAAAACACCCTGACCCTGACTTGACCCCAGGACCGGGGCTTGAAATCACACCAATCTCTGAACTTGCCCCAGAGTAAGACTACAAAATCCCACCAATCTCTGAGCACAGAATCCCACCAATTTCTGAGCTGGAAATGCCACCAATCCCTGAGCTTACACCAGAATCAGACCACAGAAATCCACCAAGTCCAAGCCACCCTGGAAAGCTCTGCTTCCCAACCCATAGAAATCCTATATAAAGTCTCTCCCTTGTTCAGTTTGTTACTGTTTCTCAACCAAAGCTATACAGTGATTTAATTATATAGTTTTTTTATATTTATTTATTATGTATACAATATTCTGTCTGTGTATATGCCTACAGGCCAGAAGAGGGCACCAGACCCCATTACAGATGGTTGTGAGCCACCATGTGGTTGCTGGGAATTGAACTCTGGACCTTTGGAAGAGCAGGTAATGCTCTCAACCTCTGAGCCATCTCTCCAGCCCCCAATTATATAGTTTTTGTGTGATTATTTTGGGGCTAAGCAGCCAGGAACTAACTAGTAGCCTTCTGCTACAAATTGGTGCCAACGTGGCTAGCTAAAACCCATGTAGAACCCGGGAGGGCTTGAAAGGGAATCCTGGGCACAAAAGAACAGAGTTAAGTATGGTTTGGTAGTGGCATTTTCTTGGCTGGGCTCTGTTTTTTAGAAGCAGGCAGAGGCATGGCTGTTTATAGCTAACATTTTTATTTCCCCCCTTAGCCTCAAGCAATAAATCTCTTTTGTATCTCTATAAATTTGTCTTTTCTATACATTTTAGATCTATTCTGTCTCTTATGTTTCCTTTTACCTGGCTTTTCTTCATCACTTAGCATGCTTTTTAGACCCATCCCAGTTAACTAGGGACCAGTAGCTTTGCATTGCCGAGTAGAACTCTAGTTGTACAGATGAACCTTATCCATTCAACATTTGATGGACATTTGAGTTATTCTCAATTCTGACTACCACCAATAACGCTGCTATAGGTGTTTTTAAACCAATCTCCATGTAGAGTTATCATTTCTCTTAGGTAGAAGCTAGGCGTGGAATTACTGGGTCCTATCTTTTTTATTTCTATTTTTCTCTCATTAAAAATAATTTTTTTTCATACAATATATTCTAATATGGTTTCCCTATCCCAACTCCTCTGATATCTTCCCCACCTCCCCTCCCATCTGAATCCACACTTTCCTATCTCTTGTTAGAAAACAACATACACCTAAATAATAATAATAAAATTAAATTAAACATAAACAAAACAGAATATGACAGACACGGTCATAGACACAGAAATCATTAAAGCACAAATCTGAAAGCCATAATATATACACAAAGAATCTGTAAAGGAAAAGGAGAAGAAGAAAAAAAGCTCTGATGAGACATTATGAAACAAAGAACCTCTAAAGATGCTATTGAGTTCATTTTCTGTTGACCCTCTACTGCTGGGCCCGGAGTCTGCCCTTAAGTGCAGTTTGTTTCCCCGGTGAAACTCCATAGGAGAAAACTGATTTTTATTTGTGAGTGATTATCAATTGTAGATAGCTTCTGGGTTAGGGATGGGAGTTTGTGTCCACTTCTTCTCCCAATGCTGAAACCCCATCTGGCACAGATCCCAGACAGGCCTGTGCATGCGGCCACAGTCTTTGTGAGTTCATATAAGTGCTGGTACCATTGTGTTTGGAGGACCTTGGTTTCTTGGCATCCTCCACAGTCTCTGACCCCTGCAATCTTTCCATCTACTCTTCTGCAGGGTTCCTTGAGCCCTGAGGGGAGGGATTAACAGGGATATCCCTTTAAAGCTGGAGTGTGATGTTGGGGGATATTCGATCACACTAAGAACCCCAAGTCTGCATTTACATTAATTAGATAAAATTAACCTTGGGTCAGAAGACTGAGCTAACAATTAGTTGACAGAAAATAATCAGAGGGCATCCGGGAGAGAACAAGAGATGATAGTAGGGATGGATTCGAAGTGGCGCAGGTTTTTCTGGTTTGGTGGAAAGGAAGCTGATGTTTGAAGATGCCAGCAAGGAGAGAAGGTTGACTTCTTGCCACTCAGCCTCTCTGAGCTCTCAGGTTTTCACACCAGTCTTTGAATTTCTAGTCCTATTTATAAATAGAATGATAGAAATTTAGTTAAAGCTACCCTTAGCACTGACAGAGCCAGTTCCTGCGGGAACAGAATTCTCACCAGGCTGTGGTGAGCAACCAGGCTGCTGCCAGAGAAGCAGGCTGGTAACTGCAGAGTACCAATTGCCGGCTGAAATAGCAGTAGATTAGGGCACAGCCACTGTGCTGAAGATAAAACAGTGTTCTGAGGTCTCTCACTCTCTGCACATTGTCTGGCTCTGGGTCTCTGTATTTGTTCCCCTCTACTGAAGGAGGAAGCTTCTTTAATGATGGCTGAGCAAGGCATATGGTTCCTTGACCAGAGTGGCCAGTCTGTTTTCCTGGGGAGTGTCTCCTGGATTGGGCAGCTGAGAGACAAAGGGATGCATCATGGAGGAAGGCTGTAAAAGACCTGAGTGATTCCCTGGGAATGGGGGCAGAGAGAAGGAGAAGTCACCAGCAGGTGAGGTGCTACATGCTGGGGATAAGATTTGGGTCCAATTTTTTTTTTAATTTTTTAAAAACAAATTTTGCATATGGGTGTTTTTCCTGCAAGTATGTCTGAGTACTGTGTGCATGCCTGGGGTGCCCAAGGAGGTCAAAAGAAGATTGTTGGATACCCTGGAACTGGAGTTACAGACAGTTGTAGGCCACCATGTGGTGCTGGGATAGAATGCGGGTCCTCGCTCTTAACTGCTAAGCCATCTCTCCAGTCCCCTGAGTTACATCTTAAGTATATGTTTAACTTCTTCTTTTTTTTTTTTTTTTTTTATGGTTTTTCGAGACAGGGTTTCTCTGTGGTTTTGGAGCCTGTCCTGGAACTAGCTCTTGTAGACCAGGCTGGACTCGAACTCACAGAGATCTGCCTGCCTCTGCCTACCAAGTGCTGGGATTAAAGGCGTGTGCCACCACCGCCCGGCTTATGTTTAACTTCTTATGAAACTGTCAGACCATTTTCTAAAGTTCCTCTACCCATCTCCTTCCCAAGAGCATGGCTGAGGGTCCGATGTTCTCTTTGGCCTAGCCAAGGAGATGCTCTTATCTGCAGCTGCTAGACTCTGAGAATGTAGCCTCTTGCTGCCTCTGCCTGCCATTCATTCTCCCTATTATTCAGCAAGTGTAAGGGTGCTACCACTACCTGGTGGTGTCTGCTACTGCTGCAAGGCGTCCTGAATGCCTTGAGTGAGAGACAGGACTCTGGTCACATTATCTCAACCACCCTAATCCTGGTTTCTGTTGGATGAACTAGAATGAGTTGTCTGGTAGGAGTTGGATCTGTTGCTACTGATAGGCTTGCCAAGTGGATTCCTCCAACACAATGAAGTCCCAAGGGAATAATGTGATTGCTCTCCCCAAATTCCACAAGGGGACTGACAACCAGCCTTGGTCCCTCAGGCACAACAGAGATAACCAAGAGTCAGTGGTACCCACTAGGTACTGAAGTTGTCAAAAAGTCTGACTGGGAAGAGAGGTAAGAAATGGGCCTAGATCATGAAAATCTCTGAAAGGGCTTTTTTCAACACTTAAAAAAAAAATAGTGTGAGCAGGTACATTTAGTGTGTCTGTGTGTATGAGTGTGTGCGTTACAGCATACATGTGGAGTTCAGAGGACAATTTGCACGGGTCAGTTCTCTCCTATTACGTGAATCTTGGGGATCAAATTCAGGTCGCTGGGCTTGGTGGCAAGTGCCTTTACTTACTGAGTCACCTTACTGACTCCCTGAGAGGATCTGTTCCCAATCACAGGTAAAATGCCCCAAAGGCTGGAAGTAGATGAAGAATGTGAAAATAGCATGTAGACATCAGTGAGAGGAGAGGGAGGGAAGCGTGAGTCTTTGACTGTGTTACTTCAGGACCCTCAGTTTGTGGAAATTTTATTATGATATTGTTTACGTTAGATTATTTTGTTTGTTTTTGTCTTTTGAGTCAAAGCCTTCATATACATGCAGGCTGGGCTGGAACTTTCGACCTTTTTTGCCTCAGTCTCTTGTGTGCATACACAGATAAATTGACCATTTTTTTTGCTACAAGATTACGTCAGTTTTCTCTCTCTCTCTCTCTCTCTCTCTCTCTCTCTCTCTCTCTCTCTCTCTCTCTCTCTCTCTCTCTCTCTCTCTCTCTCTCTCTCTCTCTCTCTCTCTCCCACCTGGGGATCAGAAGTTCAGCCTGGGAGGAAGAGAAAGAGGTAGACATGGAAAGAGCATACATAGAGGAATCGGATAAGTGGCCACCACTTAGTCTGCGTGTTGGCCTTTCTCCGCTGATTTTCACGTATCTGCCTCTCAAGCAGCAACGCCATGTCCTTTGGTTATAAAACTGCGCATTTGTGCATAACCTCATTGAACGTGTTTGTCTATCAGTTTTTAAGACCTTACATTATTCATGTCTTTGAAAAGGAAAAATAAAACCCTGGGGAAGCTCCGGACACAGCTTGGATGTTTGACTCCTGCATTTCATCTTCCAGAGTGCCAAGACCCCCCCTTACCTTACTAGCTCGGAGATCCCAACAAGCGCCTCTAGCCTCCTCCCCAGCACTCCAGTCTCATTGCTATGGAAACAGACCTCGCTGAGCCAAGACTAGAGAGGTGCTAAAAGCTGGCTGGCCAACCTCTGCAACAGGCTGTGGGCGGAAAGGAGGAGCCGGAGAAAGTGGCGTCTGGACACAGAGAGGCCCCGGACCCCGCAGAGGCCCCCTGTTCTGCTGGCTCCGCCCCCGCTACCCCCACCCACACTGGGTGTAGAAATACTGCTGCAGTCCCGGCCACCACCCACTGCACTGCGACCCTGTAGGGACTTCGCCTCTGAGTCTCAGCACCTGCCTGGCTGTGGTCTGCGCCAATGGCTAAAGGTCCCTTTGTGCGCAAGTCGTGGGATCCAGAGCAGATGTATTTCGCCTCTGACCCTGAGTCCGAGGGCCTGTTCGATAAACCGCCCCCGGAGGAAAGCCACACGGCCCGTGCACCCAAGTCGGCGTACTGGGCTGGCAGGAAATCTGGTCGGCGCGCTGGCGGGAGAGCTTCAGGGAACCGCGCTGGGCAATCCCGAAAGGCCGCCGCGCGCCCGGAGCCCGAGCCCAAGCCCAAGGAAGAGGATCCTTTGGTGGAGGAGCCTCTGGAGGACGAGGGCTGCTATCTCGACCACTTCCCGCACCTCTCCATCTTCATCTACGCGGCCATCGCCTTCTCCATTACTTCCTGCATTTTCACCTATATCCATTTGCAGCTTGCCTAAGCGGCCAGGGTCGGACGGAAAGGGCGCAGATTCGGGGTGGGGGTGGGGAAGGTTGGGGTAGGGGAAAGAGAAACGCAGCCTTTTGTTCTGGAGATGCGCTGAGCCCCTTTCATTTAGCATTTGCTGTTTTTCTTTGTTGTTGCTTTGTCTAACTGTCCAAAGTCGCTGCCGGCAATGAATTAGCGGTGCTGCTTGCGCCCACGCATGGAGTGCAATTAGTCTCTTACCCTTTAGGACCCTAGATTGAATTGAACCCCATTTGTAATTAAGATGATGTCTCTGTAGCCTACCACTTTGTAATGTGAGGGCCCAGTGTTTCTGTGTTTGTAGAGCGCAGAATGAGTCCAGCCTTCTGTGCTTAAAGGATGAACCAGACCGGAGCCCGCGGTCTCCCAGAGTACCGAGAGGAGAGTGGGTGCCCTGGCTGTAGTGCTGGAGCCATGTTGTTGCGTAGCTCAAAATGAGCCAGCTGCGTCTACGAGCTGTTTCAGTCACAACTCTGCGCGCCTGGCGGACCTGGGAGATCAGCGGGTATGGCTGGAAGCTGGAGGTGAGTAGTGTTTGTCAAGGTATGATTCTGCGCCCTCCCTCCGGAGTTGGAGCTGACGTGGGCTGGGCATTTTCCTCCCTGCTTTAGGTTTTGCGGCTACCAGGAGGACCCAAGGCCTGTAGTAAGCCGAGCTGAACGTCAGAAAGCCACCGCTCAAGGCAGGTGTTTGAACTGTGTGGAATAGGAGACCACAAACCTTCAGGGACGGAGGACTAGAATCGTGGATTCCGTTGCCATGAGACCGAGGGCCTTTCTTTGTTGGGGTCCATGGGAGGACTATGCTAGAGAATTCTCAGGCGACTGAATCTAAGGCACCAAGATGAAGGGGCTGGGCTTGGGACTGTCGAGAACATGAGTTCCTGCTGCACCTGTTTTCTCAGAACCCCCCTTTGCAGGTTATTTGCCTATCTTCGTTTACTCGCGAATGCCAGCTGTCCAAATGCAGCACTCCTGCACTGCTATGCTCTATGGAAATGTCTATGTGCTATGTCTGATGGAATAAAAACCATTCTCAGTCTCTTTGTATTCAATTCTGAATGTAGCTGACAATGGGGGCTGACAGAGAAGCCATTGATAATGGCACTGGGATTGTCTCTACTGCATGTACTGGCTTTTGGGGATCCTATTCTATTTGGATGCATATCTTCCTAAGTCTGGACGTAGGGGGGAGGGCCTTGAACTTCCCACAGGGCAGGGTACCTTGCCCTCTCTTACAACTGGAGGGAGGAGGGTGTCTGGGGGAGTGGGAAGGAAGTGTGAGGAGGTAAAAAAATAAGGGAAAAAAAGAGAAAAAAAAGAATCTCTTCCTACATATTAAGCTGCAAGGTAGCATGTAAATATTTCAAGAAAAGTATTTATTTATTACAGGTATAGATTACAAAGTCAAAATTAAGAAAAATGCCTTCTTGCTGTCTCTTCCCATGGTGGAAGCATTATAGGGTGAGATCACACCAGAACGAGTGGCCTGAACTCATGTTTTTATTGGAAACCTAGTCCCTAAAAACCCCCCAACTCCAGGCATTAATCAAAGTATAAACATTCAACTTCAACATTGTGTCATAGGAAGTCAGAGCTTTAACACATGAATTTCGTGGGCCACATTCAAACCCTAACACTCATCCCTTTAGTAATTTTCCATCCAGTGATAACCTTTTGTCCCTACAAGTTCATTCCGTCCCTGAGCTGCGCATCCCCATCTTTTCCTTGTTATACTCAGAATCTAACCTCTCCCTCAATGCAATGGTCCCTACATCTAATCCAAGAGTCCCCAATAAAGTCTACTTCACCAATATTAAGTGTCACAAATCAGATCTGGTTTTATTGTTTTGTTTGAGACCAGTCTATGTAGCCCTAGCTGTTCTGTAATCTTTCTACAGGCCAGGCTGAACTCCCAAAAGATACACCTGCTTCTGCCCCCCAAGTGCTGGGATCAACAATGTGCACGACAACCAGCTAGGATTCAGTTTTTTAATGCACACACTCAAACATACACAGAGGTCTTGTTCATGTCTTAAAAAATTATTATTATGTCTGTATATTATATGTGTGTGTGCACACACAATGTGGGGTATGGGGGGTTCCACATGCAACAGTGTACCCTTGGAAATCAGAGTACAATTTTGTGGAGTCAAGTCTTTCTACCTCTACATGGGTTCTGGGGATCCAACTCCAGTCACCAGGCTTGAACAAGTACTTTTACCCACTGAGTCATCACCAGCCCCGCCAGTCTTTCTCTGCTGCCCTGTTTCCCTTTGTTCTTCCCCCTCCTCCTTTTGCTTCTCTCCTGTGTGGCATGTTAAACCCCGAGACACCACATGCTGAGCATACTCTACCACTGAGCTATGCCCCCAGTCCAGCTTTTCTGCTTTATTAGTCCCTGGTGTAGCTCATGATTGCGCTCCAACATTCAATGAATGAATATACAGGCCTGATTTACACAGGATTCCACTCCCTCCTGAAATCATACTAGAGTACCCCTAAAGTTGAATGGGTACAACCCCAAGAGAAGAACTAAAGGCGTTATCGGATACAAGGGTGGTCAACCCAAATTCCAGAAGGGAGAAAGCAGATGAACAAAACTGTCCGAATTGGATCCTGCAGTTCCAAAAGATCTGCCAATCTGCTTTGAGGAACCTGGGAAAGAGACCTTAAACAGAAGAGTAATCAAAGATAAGCTGTTCATTTACGTGTTCTCTCTTTTCACTACTGAGAAATTATCGTGTTTCCAGTCTTTTGCTTTGTTTTTCGACCTTGTCTCTAATGTTCTGGAATTTTCTACAGTTCTGGACCAAGGACACCAAACTCTCCCTAAAGTTACTAGTTCCGTGATCTCTGCCAATGTTTTCAAGCTCATCAAAGAAAGTCAACGTCTCTCTGAGTCTGGCTTTAACAATTTTTTGCTCCTCTAATTCTGCAAGAAGGGCCTGCTCAGTGCATAATTCAACCTTATACTTCTCTTGTAACTCTTCGATTTCCTTTCTGAGAAGCTGGAATTTTTCTTCACTAAAAGGATGTGTCTCCTGACACTTATCTTCAGGAAGCAGGATGTTTGGGGGAATCCACAAAACAGCCTGCAAAATCAGCTGCTCCATTTTGCCAAAAAGGTTATCAAAACGTCCTTTCATGAAGCAAAGAAACTTCTCTGTGCATTTACGAACTTGGACAGGGCTAATCTCCGAGTTTGGGACGTCCTCCAGCTTCTTTAGGATAACCTGTTCAACAGCCTGCATCACTTCAAACAGGTGGTCTTGAAATGCTAAGTAGATCCTCAGCAGGCAAGTCTGTGGTGTGAAGCCAAAGAACTGGGCCTCATAGGCCATCGGATCCACGGACATCCTGCTTTATTTTGCTACCCTCAACTGTGAAAGCCTGCAAATATAAAAAGAAACTTCATTAGGACAAACCAGAGGAAAATAATAAAATCTTGTTATTGATAAGCAAGCAAACAAAGGAAGCAAATTAAAAACTAAGGCATTTGTGCGCCTTTGATACCTGATGTTCCTTAATTGTCCCACAGAAAGACAGAGCCCTTGCCTCTCTCCTATACTCTTTATTGTTCGATTCCCTCAGTTATTGCTTAAGACTTAGATACAAGCCCAACCTTCTCAATTCTGTTATCATGAGCATTTACAGATTACCTCAATTCTCTTGAGACCTGGTTTTTTTGAGCTTCATTATGCCCCCACATTTTGAGACAATCTCTTATTGTACAGCCCACAGCTTGGCTCATATTCTTTCATTTGTGACAGGGTCTCGTGTAGCTGAGGATGATCTTGAACTTCTGATCCTTCTGCCTCTACCAATAAGCCCAACTTTCTACTTGGAGATGGGGTTAGAACCCAGGGCCCAGATAAGCACTCTACTAACTGAGCTACATCTTAACCAAGCCCTGTGCTAGTCCAATTGTCAGTCACATTATACCTTAAGCAGTTCCCAGTCCATCCACTTAACTTCTTTACCCATTCATTTTAGGTTCCATATTCTATCCTTTATTTATTTATATTTGGTTTGGTTTGGTTTTTCGAGACAGGATTTCTCCTGACTGGACTCAAACTCACTGAGATCCCCCTGCCTCTGCCTCCCAAGTGCTGGGATTATAGGTGTGCACTGCTACCACCACCCAGCCGGTGGTAATCATTTTAATTACCTCATTGTCTTCCACCCTAGCCATCTGAGAAAAATCCAACTAAATGACCAAGCCTTTATCCTGACTAGTCTCAAAGATCTGAGAGGCATTCTTTTTCAGTGTAAGCATCCAAAAACACTCAACCCATTTCCTTAACCTTGGAACCATGGAACCTAACCTTGGCATTGAGAACTTAACCTTGGCATTTTTGTCCTAGTAACTAACTGCTTGTTATGGACTCCTTTCTCAGATAAGGGCACTTAATGTAATCTAAAAACCGCTAATTCAACTACCTACCATATGAATTTATTTTATGAGAAGACAGGTTGCCATCAATCTTGAAAATTTAAATATGTAATAGTTTAAAATACAGTGGTGATAACTATATGGCTATATAAATAGAATTTGTTTTTGTAGTGTCAGTTCGTAGAGTATCTCTGTCCTGGAAAATTTTTACTTCCTGAACATTTCTCACAGATATTCCTATTAGAGTTTTGTTTTGTTGAGATGGGGCCTCACTATGTTACTTAGGCTGGCCCCAAATTTTTTTAACTTTTCTACCTTAGCTTCCCAAGGAGCAGACCGCCAGGACTATACTCTTAGATCTGTAGTGCTGTTTTTAGACAGGTAGCTCCAGCTGGCCTAGAACTCACTTTTTGTGTATGTACACATACATGAAGATATCTACAAAAACCAGAAGGTGTTGGTTCCCTAGAGCTGGAGTTATAGATAGCATGCTGGAAATACAACTTGCTGGGAACCCAACTCAGGCCCTTTTAACTATGGAGCTACCTCTCCAGCCCCTACAAATTCAGTCCCATATACACTGTTTACATTGTAATAGCCTAATCACTTCATGTTACTGCACTCATTTACTTGACTGATCATGACTGTAACACGTCCCAGGTAAACTGTCCAGAACCACACCTTTAATCCCAGCACTCAGGAGGGGAGGGGCCTTGTGAGTTCAAGGCCAGCCTTATTTACACAGAGACCCTGCCTTGAAAAACAAAAACAAACAAAAAATGCTTCCAAAGTTTCAACTATGATCTATAGTCCCTCTCAGCCCTAAACCCACATTCATCCCCACCCAGTTTACTAAGAAGTTGCTGTTCTAAAATGGAGAAAGAAAAGGGTGTCACCAAATTCAATGATTATGCATGAGAAGTAAACCCAATCCCCTTAGATCTATCCTGTGACAGTGGTGGTGGGGAACCAATACACAGTGTAAAACAAGAGAATCCTTCCCCACCAACCAGATAATCAAGAAACCTGTCAGAGCTTTGAGCACACATCAAGATGAGGAGCAGGGCTGTCAGAGATGGCTCAGCTATTAAGTGTACCTGCTGCTCTTGCAAAGGGCCCAGAACCCATATAAAAGCTAGCTCCTAATAATTCCAGTTCCAGATCTGACATCCTCAGGTACTCACACAATGCAGCATACATACATGCAGGCAGGCAAACACTCAAAACACATAAAATAAAAATAAATTAATTTTAAAAATGTTTTAAGATAGTGAGGAACAGGACTGGAGAGATGGCTCAATGGTTAAGAGCACTTATTCTTGCAGAAGACCTGGGTTCAGTTTCCAATACCCACATGGTGGCTCATAACCATATGTAACTCCAGTTCCAGGGAATGTCCAGTTCTAACCTCTTTGGGGGACCAGACACACACATGGTACACACACACACACACACACACACACACACACACACGGAAGCAAAACTCATACACATACATTTCAAAAAATAAAATCTTTAAGCAACAACAAACAAGATAGTTGGGGATGGAGAAACGGCTCAGTGGTTAAGAGCACTACCAGGTTCAGTTCCCAGCACCCACATGATGACTCATACAACCTGTAACTCCAGTAAGAGGGAATTCAATG